AAAACCCAGTAATTTTAAAAGTTACTCCAAAATTCGCTTGAGGATGAAATGGAACTAATGTCTTTAATTTAATTGCAAAATTAAATTCGTGGCTTTTAGCTTCCATTTTTGAAACATGGTTAGAACTGTGTAGCGGAAAAAACATATTTTAAATCAATTAATATATATATATATATATATATATATATATATATATTATATATATATAGTGGGGGATGTTGTGTGTGGAGGCACGGTGGAATAATTGAGGAATCGGAAAACCAAGTTCGATTTCCAGTTGAATCCATTACATTCACTTACTTGTGAATACCCTTGGGAAAAGTAGGAATCCTCTTCTTCTCCTAGTTATAGATAAATAGCAGGGCAGACTGGGTTCTATAACCTTGGGTGGCACCTGGTCTAGGATAAAGTAATTCCGAATTCATAAAAACAGCCTGGAGAGGGTTGGGCTCCGTCAAGCTATCTTGCCCAAGAAATACCACTTTTACTGCGGCTATAGTACACATGGTGCCACTACGACAGGGACGGGTCAAGGGATTCGTGATCACGATATATATTTGTGTGTGTGTCCAGTGTTGACAGAATTCAATAGCCTTTACATTGCCTTTTGGGTGATGAAGTGAATTTCTTGGTGTGTGGTAATACTGGTCGGTTCGATAGGGTCAAATTAGCAGCTGAAAAACGATAGCATAGAATGTGTCGTTAAAAGGAGAATAGTTTATTAATTTTAACGCCTCCAAAATGAAACTTACCACTGCTAACCGTCTAAGAGAACATTTTTGGCCTTACATCAGCATTGCTGACGCTAACCTCCAGCAGCGTGACTCATTGCGGGCCAACGTTTTTCGCTGACATGAAATGGAAATATTATAGTGAATTAATTGCCAAGTCATTTACTAGGAATGTTATTGTGCTAATGCATATTTCTCGCCTGAACCATTCTTGTACATCTATAAAGTCTTTCATTCGTCCAATGCAGTGAATATTGCTGTCATATCTGGTCTCGTGATTCTGCTATATATTTAGAGATTCTGGATAAAAATACAAAGGAGAATCAGCAATTTTATTGGTTCTTACCTGTCATCAGTACCCCAGCCACTTTCCCACCGCCGTAAGGTATCTTCCTCATCATTTTATATAATACCTGTTCTTTTATTGTTCTCTCTGTATTTAATAATGTTTTCTTTTTCCCATATTCTCTCACACCCAGTAATCTCTTGTGTCTTATTAATTTTATTGTCTTGGTTGGGTATATATTTTATATATATATATATATATATATATATATATATAAGTGAACATTGAACTTAGAGGCGACAGGCTGTTTCATGCTAGACGCAATCGTCAGGCCGCAATCCCTGGCGGCCTGACGATTGCGTCTAGCATGAAATAGCCTGTCGCCTCTGAGTGTTGACTTCAATGTTCACTTTGATATTTATATTTACATACGCTCTATCTGTGATACTGAGCACTTTTTACCATAAATATAGCACACCTTAAAACTAATTATTTATTCGAAAATTATAACATAAGTATGTTATAAAATCACTACAAAAACAGCCATTTTGTTTCATCCCTCTGATGTCTTATCAAGTGATGGCGTTGAATGTAGAATAAAGGGTTTTAAAAAGTTCAAATCAATTAACCACTCCTCGCAAGGGGAAACGCTGTTAGATAAACTGGAATATTCGCTCTACTGTGTATTGTGCACTCTTTTAAGAATAGTAATTGCTGGTTATTGGAATTTATTCCGTATACACCAATTCTATACTTATATATATATATATATATTAGTACTATAGTTGAGCATTTAGATTTATGATTTAGGACATTTTTATTTTTTGATAATGACTAAATACCACATTTGTCAGATTAAAGTGTTACATTCTGTAATACGGCCTGTAATTTGTTGGCTGATATTTCTAGTGATAGTTACGACATTTTCGCTCATGTTTTTTTAATCAATTAACCTCAAACAGGGCAATAATTCCACTAAGACACAAGGGCCTACTGGGAGTGAAAGAGAATGAGAATTCTTTAGAAGGAACCGGAAACCCAATTATAAACAGGAAACAAGTGAAAAAATTCCAGGGAGGTGTGTGAACCGGTCGATAGGCGAATCTATTTACTCCCATTGGTTTGCATACTATTTTTTTAACCTAAGTGTGATCGTGTGAACAACTTGCAAAACAAATACGTAAACGACACACACAAACACACACACAACTACACACACATACACACACACACACACACACACACATATATATATATATATATATATATATATACACTCGAAATGAAATATATTTAGTTATTTAGCTTTTTCTTTCTGTAAATATACTCCAGTTCAAACATTTTCTCGAAAATAAATAAGCGAGAAGCAATCAGATAGAAAGAAAAAGATAACCTTGTTTTCTGTTACACTTTTTTCTTTCCTTTTTTTTTTTTTTTTTCGGAGTTTGGGGCACTTTAATGTTTTGTCTCCCCTCTAACGTGGGAAGAGTAATCAAATATCTTAGAAAAAGTGACCCCCCATTTGGGGACTCTTTCTTTAAGAATTGCTGGAAAGACACAAGGCGTCTATTGTGCATGCTGAAGTATTTTAAGCAGGGTGTGAAGAGAAGGATTGCTGGAATAAAATTCGACGTCTGCAATTGAGTGGCACTGTAACCTTTCGTAATAATGACAACCAGTGTTTCTCAGACTGGTTGGAGGTATTGTTTTACATGCCTTCAACGTTGGAGGGCATCATGGCTGACTTCTCGAACCATCAGGGTTCGCTTGCCATTTTTATCTCCTTTTAGCTGTAATCTACACACTATTCATTCCATGCGGAAAACTCCAGTGTTTAAAATGTTTGCGATAAAAATACAGCGCACTTAGATAAATAAAGAACACATGGCACAGTGGATAAAAGCCCAGTGACAGAACCCAAAGACTGTGAGTTCAATACTTGGTTAAGGCAGTGGAGAACTTTCAGAGGGAAATTTCTGAGATAAGGTATTATGTATATTATTTACATTATTCGGGTTATTGTCCTCAAAGGCGTTGCTTAGAGCCAGTAACGGGAGGCAAAGAGTGTGAGTTCAATATCCGGTTAAGGCAGTGGAGAACTTTCAGAGGGAAATTAACAGGAGATAACTGATAACTGACATCCATTAAACATGGCACGTGAAACTAGAACAGTCTACCCCAGTGAGCGAAATAAACGGTTAAATAAATGGAATGTCGAACTGAACCCTTTATTTCGCTCGCTGGGATAGACTGTTCTAGTTCCACGTGCCATGTTTAATGGATGTCAGTTATCTCCTTTTAATTCCCCTCTCGTTGTAAGGACACATGGCACAATGGCTAAAGGCGTTAGTTAGATCTAGTGACAGGACTCAAACAGTGTGAGTTGAATACCCGATTAAGGCAGTGGAGAACTTGGAGAGGGGAATTAACAAGAGATAACTCATAACTGACACCCATTAAACATGGCATGTGGAACTAGAACAGTCTACCCCAGTCAGGGAAATAAAGGGTTCAGTTCGACATTCCAGCCACTTGAAGAAGGCCAGAGCGTACAACGGTCAAAACGGTGTAATAAATATAGCGACAAAGATGAGGACAATAGTCCGAATAATGTAAATAATGTAGATAAATAAAATTGTGAAAAAAGGAAGAATAATGAATGTCCTTCAACCTACAATCACAAAAACAACTTGAAATAGTAACTTTTACTAAATTTAACATGGTACGACAAAAAGAATAAAAATAAGAGATAGAAAGATTTTCCACAGTTCATGGCTGGTTTACCTAAAATATCAATATTCGAAATTGTATATTATACCTGGGCTACTGCTCATTAACTTTCAGTACGCAGGGGATGATGGCTCTCTACATCTTTTGTTGTACTAACACTTCCCTTTTTAACCTTATTTATCTTGACAGTCCTCGTACTGCCATCATTTTAAATAAGCTCTTAAGTTACTTGCTATTTCCGCCTGCTTCCTTACGTTTAATATTCTTTGAATATTGAATCATTGTATTCTACGTTAAATATTATTTGAACATTTCTTGTGACTCAGTTACATCGCAGACAAGTGGAATTGGTATATAGGCTCGATAACTAAAAATGCTGCAAAAATGGCCAGTACCTTTTCAGAAAGTACCTGACTTCCTCTAGCATGCTCTATCTTTAAAAGAATCAGATCAGACCAAACATTTTACTGTCATATCTGCGATAGATTGGTTCAGTTCTCACATTCTAGCCATGACACGATGAGGGCGATGAATCATTTTCTACCCTACAACTGCTTTCTCACATATAAAACATTGATAGCCTCCCTCTGAAAGTCTGGAAATTTACTCATGGAGTATTGTTGGTGTTTCTGGGTTTCAGCTGCCCAATCCTCACTTTCCAGACTTGACAGACTTCAATAGCCTTTACGCTGCCTTGTGGGTGATGAATTACTTTCAACCTTACAATCTATTTCCTACAGATGTAGCATCATGAGCTTATTGCTACTCTATATCCATGGCAAATGGTCAGATGATCTCCATTCCTTACTTTCACCAGTTGAAGCATTTACATGCCACATACACAGGGTCGAATCATCCCCATCCCCTTTGTATTGCATTGGTAACGAGGAAGTTTCACTCAGACATGAAAGAGCTGAAATAGACTTTAGAAGAAACAAGAAACTCAATCTGAAACAGGAAACAAGAGATCAACATTTCTAACCTCCTTCTGAAAGTCTAAAATTTACTCATGGAGTATTGCTGTCGTATTTGGGTTCAAGCAGCCCAATCCTCACTTTCCAACGTTGAGAGAATTCAATATCCTTTACATTGCCTTGTGGGTGATGGAAGGGAATTTCTTGGAGTTGTGCAGAAAAGCTAATGGCTAACTCAAGACTTGAAGAGGACAAGATTTCATTAAAGAATAAAATTTCAAGGAAAATATAGTGGAGAAGAAATATAGTGGATCTGGCAGAAAAACTTTATTTTGATACACATAGATAGATAGATAGATAGATAGATAGATAGATAGATAGATAGATATGAATAGACCAAGAGAGATAGATGGATAGATAGATTGATAATGAAAATACTGCGGCAGATAGATAGATAGATATGAACAGACCGAGATAGATAGATAGATAGATAGATATCAACAGACTGAGGTAGATAGATATGACCAGAGATAGATAGATAGATAGATAGATAGATAGATAGATAGATAGATAGATAGATAATGAAAAGACTGCGCCAGATAGATAGATAGATAGATAGATAGATAGATAGATAGATAGATAGATAGATACGTCTAGAACCAAGTTAATAACGTTTCATAATTATTTCTTTCCAGTCATTGTACCCCAAATGAGTCTTCTTGCCTTGGCTATCTATTACGGTTCAAGGTTACCCTAGACTTTAAGCGGGACTCATATATACGATCCACCACTAAAGATGATAGACAGATTTACCACTACAGATAGTACCTGATTCCTTCTACCATGCAGTAACTTCTCAAGAGCCAGACGAGACCAAATATTGAGTTTCCATATCCTAAGTAGAACTGGCTAATACTCAGTTTCCATTCTTGAGAATAATTCAAGTTCATTTACGTGTTCTCTTTGGTGATGAATTACTTTCAAATTAAAATCTCTTTCCCATAGGCGAAACATTGCAAGCCTATGGATAATATGTCACTATTTACTTGGCAAATGAAAATAGTGATATACTATCCATAATATAACCATATACATACAATCCACAAGACATAGATTTATAGTGACATATTGCACAAGACTTGATTTTCACAGCAAGAACCACACTAAGTCATGTACACAAAGTGGACTCATCCTCATTCGCTTCTGATTCCATATTTTAAGGAGGAAGTGAAATAAGAGAGATTCTTCTCCAGAATTATTCGTATTCCATTGGTAAGGGGGAAGTTCAACTAAGAGATCTTCCTCTCCGGAATTATTATATACGAAAATCAATGCGATTTTAACTTCAAGTCAACAGATCAGCCTCTACTTTCATCAACCTCATTCAGTAACACTCTAAATTGAGTAGCTCTTGAGCCTTATTTTATGCGAACAACACTAAAAAAATTTCCTCCTTACTTTTTTTGCCGTGGTTTATTGAAGCATCCTCGACTAAACCACAAAATTATTTATCAGTCCTTTACGGATGCTGGAGGCAAACGTTCTCAGTTTGTTTGTTTTTGTTTTTTTTTTTTTTGTTTTTTGGGGGTTTTTTTGGTATTATCTGCCGGATAGTCAGGAATCCGAACCTTTGAGTAACTTCAAATCAGACTATCCCATCAGCAGGTGCATAGTATCGAGGCTACTGTACTGCCATTTTGTAAAAAAACATGCTGGAGCGTGCAGTAGTCTCCGGTGAGGTCTCTCGATACCATGATAAATTATACGGTTACGACTATATCCTCGGAAGATTCAATCCAATGGCTGTAACTGTCTGCTTCGTCTACTGCTCTATCAAGTACCTGTCTCCTTCTGATCTCCTCTTTCCTTAATAGGAGTAAATAGGTTCGCCTATAGACCGGTTCACACTCCTCACCGATCCATTGAACAAAAGTAGATATTTATTCCTCGTTACTAGTTTAAGATTCGGTTTCCGGTTCCTTCTAAATCCTTTTCATTCTCTTTCACTTGCATCTTGGTGGCATTATCTCATTGCTTAGGGAGGTGTCTCTCACTCTACCTGGAGTGGCTCTCCGTCCTTGTACAGAGTAAACATTATAAAAGAAATAAATAAAAATTGCATACTAGAATCCAGTGAAAATCGAGGTGGGTGTGAATCAGTATTGTAAACACGTTCCACAATGTAAATTGCTTGAAAAGTCATTCTTATTACGAAAATAGATCAAGCTGTAATAGGCGTCCATAGACATTTCTTATACTTACAAGGACGAAAGGGATTCCTATCCATTGCATATATCTCCAGGAATGGAGGTGTTTTAAAGATATCATCATGGAAAAGAAATATTTTTTTTTGAGTCAGTATTGATGTTTCATCTCCCTCTCTTGAAAGTGTTTAATTTTCTTCTGAATGAATATTTTATGATCCATTATGAAATCAATCAAATTCGTGATCCGGGTGATCATGAATGGATGCGAACAAGGTTTGAAATATTGTTATGGGATCTTACCCATAATAATAATAATGGACTATTCCATACTTAATAAATACTGCGCCTCAGGAGTAGGCAAGGAGTCTGTAGTTCAAGTCGAGTCAAGAGTCGAGTCAGAGGCAGTCCGAAACAGAGTCGCGTTCAAACAATTACTGCAAGACATTAGAATAGTGATACTGGTCGAGACTACATTGTTCTCTCTACTAAACCTGATTGTTCATACTAACACTTTCTACTTCTCTGTATATATATTCCTGTTTGTAATATATCTGTGTTATTCCATACCTGTGTTCGAGTTCTTCTTTATCGGTTCTACCTTGGACTATCACAGTGGTACAAGGAACCGGACCATAACAAATATACAAAGTAGATGAAATCATACTTGACAAAAAGATATATCGATTTTTCAAAAGTTGTTGCATTGATAACAAAATTTCTACCCCGTATCTTGACATCTGTTTGCCCCTAAGGATGCCTTCCTAAACTGCATCATGTCTTCTTTCAAGATAATGCTTGTTTTCAATTGTTGGATTGATCAGTTTTGTTTTTTTTACGGCTTATCATCCTTTTGAAGGTTATCTAAAGATTGTAATATTTGTTGAGATATTTATTATTAACAGATACAAGACCTACTAATTAACCGATAACTGCGGGAAAAGATGAGTATATATCTTTCTCAAAGGTATTTGTGTGTGAGCAAATATAACAGACCCTACTGGATTGGAACTGGACTCTTTGATTTTCAATTTCGAAGCGTTATCTATTACACCACCCGCTCATCCAAGCTTATCGCATCTGGTATTCCCAAATGGTCGCTCATATAGGTACTGACAAGGCTTGATGTTGCTTAACTTCTATGATCGTACGAGAACCAATGTTTCAATGTGATATGGCCGTAAGCCATGTTCAGTTGAATAATGATATGATGATAACAAAATACGTGGATCTTTTTTTCTTATTTAGTCGCAGTACATTTTCAAGAACTCTGTATTATTCCAATGTTTTACGGTTTCACAATTGCAGTAATGATACGATCATGGTTGAAAACAGAAAAGGGTAGAGTAATTTCCAGGAAATTCTTACGCTTTGGTTTGATTGTGTATACCTTAAGAATCGTTAATGTACACGATTTAAGACTCATTCCTTAATAAGTCAAATCCAATTCCTGGAAGGCACACTTTGAAGATATTAGGTTAAATGATTACTGCAAAATGGTAATTACTCAAAATAGACTCTGTGTAATGTTAACGTCCGAGACTAAATACCACATATGTTACATTATTGTTTATTCATCTCCAGACTTCATCAGTTAGGATCGGTGGGTATGTGATTAGAAGAGGTTTTACCAAACTTCTTCAGGCGAGAATGTGAGAGACTGTTTTTTCTTCTCGGATGGGGAGCTTATATATCTTCTTGTAATCCCATGTGAACATCCTAAGAGAAGCGGTTTATATGTCGGAGCAGCTATTGACATCACGTGAGACGCAGATATGCATATTTTGGTGTGGCGCTGAGTGCAAATTATACCTCAATATCATCAGAGGTGAGCTCTTTGCTCATTGGAGTCATCACAGTTCAACTTCTCTCAGAACAAACGCCTGTTCTTAATATTAATTTCGATCTCAAAGAATCTAGTATTTCAAGGAGTGAATCATATCCTAGATATGAAAAACGCCGAAAGTTTCATACTACTTAGAGCCACGAGAGATTATTTGTCACAATATTCATTGAAAATCATCAATCGATCGATTCGAGATTCCTGTGTCTGAAAATAGCTTGTAAATCGAGTGTAAGCCTTTTGATCAAAGTGACATCATCATCTTCCCTTTGTCCAAGAAAATCTTAACTATTTGGGCCAAAAAACAAACTTGAAGATTAAAGTAACGAAAGTAATCATCAAAGTATTAGCAATCTGGAATTATTGCATGAACTTTAAGAAGCCGGACCTTTGTTTTTAATGCTTTTTTTATTGACGAACAGGTAGTGGCTGACACCTGTCAATCTCGGAAGACTATTAATGCTTGTTGCAGGCGCCGGCTGAAGCTAATTTGTGTTTTTTCAACACCCACAGATCCCACCTCTGCTTTATGTTGCAACAATGCTGAGTTGACCATAATTACATTTTAGCGTCATCAGTAGTTGAACAAGGCTAGTACACTAACATTCTCAGTTACAATGACTTGTGACTTTGTGCTCGAACAAACATCGATTCCGAACAGATTCGTCTACCCAATTTCCCTCACCAGGATTGGGTTAATACGTCGTATGGTTTTGGAGCACGTTCCAACAATATCACTCACTCCCTAGGCCGATAATTCCACTGACGTCACATCCTTGACAAACTGACGATGCTGACATTCGATCCTAGGTACTATAGCTGGAATGCTAACTTTTTAAACACTCGTCCACACGCTCATCTAAGAACGGATACTTCTATTAGTAACCTGATTGTTTCTAATGTTAGGAGGAACTGAAATCATGACATGGCCTCATCTATTATTAGCGCATGGTAGAAGGACATTATTATATTCAAGTTTCAAAATATCCTCTAAGAGTGAAAGAACATGCTATGGGCTACACCAATACTCAAAGACTGCTAACCTGCGTTAAAGTGTAAAGTCTAATATTTGGAATGAGTTGCCAGTTCCTAAGAGATGCTGTTTCCATTGATGGAACATTCTCTCTGCAATCGATGCGACAAAGCTAAGATCTTCGACAGTATCTTAACGAGCAACTGTGGTGATTTCCGCCAATGTATTCCAGCTATGAAATGTGAAAATTATTCTGATATGAAGAATGCTTGTGAAGTGATATTTTCTATCTAATATCTCCTCCGTTTTGTTTTCAACAAAATAATACAGAACAAAATCAAAATGCAAAAAAGGATGAAATTTTATAAAATATTTATTCCATAAAAATAAAATAACAATGGTTTGATTGTGGAAAGGTACGGCTTCCATTAGCCAGAGAATCCACATGTTTACATTCTGAAACCCGAAAAGTATTACATGGCTGACTGAAGCAAATACCCTTGGAGAATGAAAATAAAAACAAGGTTGGTTTATATATGTACCGGGTGGCTGCTACTGATATAAGACTGATGAGTGTTGCTACCCTTATTATTGTATCATTTCTACAGTCAATGTTCTGTGTCGGTTGGAGGGGGCTAACTCACTACTCTTTTCATAAAATTATTAATTTTGGCCAAATTTCACGAACTTTCAATTGAAGAAAAATATAAACTTGTGCAAGAGAAGAGAAAAGTGATTTCAATTCCTACTGAATATTGTAGAAGACAAATTTTTAAAAAATATATAAATGGTGAATACAAAGGGAATTAGCGTGACTCCGCCATGTATACGTAGCAAGGTAGGTTCTAGCTGGAAAGGTCTGAACTTTCGCCCCAAATAAGGCACCAACGCCACTAAGACGCAATTGGTTAATAAGTATGAAAGAATATGAGGAAAAAAAACATTATACGGAAAGAAATCAACAAAAGAAGAGTAATTAAGAAGACGGAAAATAAAAATTGGCATTGCATTTAAATTTTTAAAGATCAAAGTTGACTAAAAAGCAACAAGCCTGGAGAGAGTTCCACAAGGCGATGGGAAAGTGACTGAAGCCGAGATGTCAGGTCAGGACCAATAACACTGCAGATTCTATTTTGTATTTTATCAAGAGTCTCTAAATGCATAGCAGCAGCATCTGACCATATGTGGCAGCAATATTCAAATCATGGACGAATGGTAGACTTATAAACATGTAATTGTCTAGAGTGAACCAAGAATCCGATCAGCAGACCTAGCAGGGGATTCAATATAATCTTTCCACTTCAGGTTGTCGGGAAACTAGTGCAACTAAGAAATTTGGTTTGGTTTGATTTGTCTTACGACATATCAACCTCAATGGGTTACTTAATTATTTACATTATTCGGGCTATTGTCCTCATTTTTGTCGCCATATTTATTACAAAGTTTCGGCTCTGGCCTTCTTCAGGAATGTCGAACTACCCATTATTTCGCTCACTGCGGTAGACTGTTCTAGTTCCACGTGCCATGTTTAATGGATGTCAGTTATCAGTTATCTCCTGTTAATTTCCCTCTGAAAGTTCTCCACTGCCTTAACCGGGTATTGAACTCACACTCTTTGGGTCCTGTCACTGGAGCTAACCAACGCCTTTGAGGACAATAGCCCGAATAATGTAAATAATGTAAATAATGTACATAATACCTCATCTCAGAAATATAGACGGGTTACTTAATGCCGACAAAATTTCTTCAAAAATCTATCTCTGGGAATGTTTTTGATAAAATCTATTAGCTGGTCATATTTTTTTCAAAGAATGTATAACTGTTTGTATTGCTGGTAATTTTTTTTTTTAAGTATTGCCGATAATAATTTTTCCTTCAAAAATTATTACTGGCAATAATTTTTTTATTAGAAAGTATTTCTGGTATTAAAACCTATTTTTACAAAATTTTAGGTGTTAACTATTTGCCCATAGCTAGGATCCTAACAGGTGCTACCACCCCGGGTCAGGGTGGACCTGGGAACACTAGCAATTAAGAGGTGGTTCCCAGCTCCTTAAAACCTCCTAATCAGGTGCCTTGCTGTTGGAAGTAGTTTATCATCATACCCAGGACGCCAACTAAAAAATGTAGCCCCACAAAACATTATTCATGGAAACTGCGATGGTGTAGCGAAAGGTTTTGTAGGGTTGAAAATAATTCTTCGCCCACAATGATGCCTAAACGCTTTTTGAAAAGTGACGATTAACCGAGATATGGCAACGATACCTAATCTTTGGACTTAACTGAATATTGTAACATGGCGGGAAGACTCGTACAAGCAGGTGGCCATTTTTCTAGCATCTTTACTGGTGTATTCAAGGATTATTCCAGGATACTCGTCTACTAGGGCGGCTAGCCAATCCCTATTGCAGACGCTTGCTCAAGCGGATTTGTGTTTATAAAACACCCACAACAATTAAACAAGGCCCTGAAGACCTCAGACACGATGACTTGTGATTATCGACGGCGCCCCAGTGTTCCGTCTACCCATTTTCACTCACAATATATATGTATATATATATATATATAGAGAGAGAGAGAGAGATAGATAGATAGATAGATAGATAGATAGATAGATAGATAGATAGATAGATAGGATATTAGAAGAAAAAATTGTAAGAATCCCGACACAATTACAGTCGCTTTTTCCTCAGACGAATGAAAATTACTGGCAAGTGAACGATTAATATGGTTCCAAAAGCAAAATACATTCTCACTTTATGAAAAAAAGCTTGAGAGCTTTATCCATGGCTAT